ATGTCCCCTTTATCGTTTTTTTATTGCATCTCTTTGATTGTTCTCTCTTTTTTTTTTTATTAATCTGGCTAGCAGTCTATTTTGTTGATCTTTTCAAAAAACCAGCTCCTGGATTTATTGATTTTTTTGAGGGGTTTTTCTTTGTGTGTGTCTCTATCTCCTTCTGTTCTGCTCTGATCTTAGTTATTTCTTGTCTTCTGCTAGGTTTTTTGTTTTTTTAACCTTGCTCCTTTAGCTCTTTCAATTTTGATGATAGAATGTCAATTTTAGATCCTTTCTTGCTTCTCGTGTGGGCATATATTGATATAAAATTTCCTCTAGACACTGCTTTAAATGTGATTCAGAGATTCTAGTACATTGTGTCTTCATTCTCATTGGTTTTGAAGAACATCTGTATTCGTGCTTTCATTTCATCGTTTATCTCGTTGACATTCAGGAGCCAGTTGTTCATTTTCCATGAAGTTGTGCGGTTCTGAGTTAGTTTCTCAATCCTGAGTTCTAATTTGATTGCACTGTGGTCCGAAAGACTGTTTGTTATGGTTTCTGTTCTTTTGCATTTGCTGAGGAGTGGTTTACTTCTAATTATGTGGTCAGTTTTGGAGTAGGTGCAATGTGGTGCCGAGAAGAATGTATATTCTGTGGATTTGGGGTGCAGATTTCTGTAGATGTCTATTAGGTCCACTTGGTTCCAGATCTGAGTTCAAGTCCTGGATATCCTTGTTGATTTTCTGTCTCGTTGATTTGTCTAATATTGACAATGGAGTATTGAAGTCTCCCACTATTATTGTGTAGGAGTCTAAGTCTCTTTGTAGGTTGTTGAGAACTTGCTTTATATACCTGGTGCTCCTGTATTGGGTGCATATATATTTAGAATAGTTAGCTCTTCTTGTTGCATTGATCCTTTTACCATTATGTAATGCCCTTCTTTGTCTCTTTTGATCTTTGTTGGTTTAAAGTCCCTTTTATCAGACAGTAGGATTACAACTCCTGTTTTTTTTTTTGTTGTTGTTCTCTGTTTGCTTGATAAATCTTTCTCCATCCCTTTATTTTGAGCCTGTGTGTGTCCTTGCATGTGAGATGGGTTTCCTGAATACAGCACACCGATGGGTCTTGACTTTTTATCCAGTTTGCCAGTCTGTGTCTTTTGATTGGGGCATTTAGCCCATTTACATTTAGGGTTAATATTGTTATGTATGAATTTGATCCTGCCGTTTTAATGCTAGCTGGATGTTTTGCCAGTTAGTTGACACATCCTCTTCACTGTGTTGATGCTCTTTACCATTTGGTATGTTTTTGGAGTTGCTGGTACTGATTGTTCTTACCTTGTTTTTTGCTTTTTTCAGGAGCTTTTGTAAGGCAGGCCTGGTGGTGATGAAGTCTCTCAGCAATTGCTTGTCTGTAAAGGAATTTATTTTTCCTTCACTTATGAAGCTTAGTTTGGCTGGATATGAAATTCTAGGTTGAAAGTTCTTTTCTTTAAGGATGTTGAATATTGGCCCCACTCTCTTCTGGCTTATAGGGTTTCTGCCAAGAGATCTGCTGTGAGTCTGTTGGGCTTCCCTTTGTGGATAACCTGACATTTCTCTCTGGCTGCCCTTAGCAGTTTTTCCTTCATTTCAACCTTGGTGAATCTTACGATTATGTACCTTGCGGTTGCTCTTCTTGAGAAACATCTTTGTGATGTTGTCTGTATTTCCTGGACTTGAATGGTGGCCTACCTTGCTAGTTTGGGGAAGTTCTCCTGGATCATATTCTGAAGAGTGTTTTCCAGCTTGGATTCATGCTTTCCATCACAGTCAGGGACACCTGTCAAACGTAGATTAGGTCTTTTCACATAATCCCATATTTCTTGGAGGCTTTGTTCATTTCTTTTCACTCTTTTTTTTCTCTAATCTTTCCTCCTCGTTTTATTTCATTGAGTTGATCTTCAGTCTTTGATATCCTTTCTTCTGCTTGGTCGATTAGGGTATTGAAATTTGTGTATGCTTTGCAAAGTTCTTGTGCTGTGTTTTTCAGCTCCATCAAGTCGTTTATATTCTTCTCTAAGCTGTTTAATCTAGTTAGCATTTCATCTAACCTTTTTTCAGGGTTCTTAGTTTCTTTGCATTATGTTAGCACATGTTCTTTTATCTCTGAGACGTTTGTTATTATCCACCTTCTGAAGCCTGTTTCTGTCAGTTCATCAGATTCTTTCTCCATCCAGCTTTGTTCCCTAGCTGTTGAGGAGTTGTGATTCCTTGGAGGAAGAGAAGCATTCTGGTTTCTGGTGTTTTCATCCTTTTGTGCTGGTTTCTTCCCATCTTAGTGGCTTGATCTACCTGTGGTCTTTGTAGTTGGTGACTTTTGAATGGGGTTTCTGAGTGGACGTCCTTTTTGTTGATATTGAAGCTATTTCTTTCTTAGTTTTCCTTCTAACAGTCAGGCCCTTCTGCTGCAGAACTGCTGGAAGTCCACTCCAGACCCTCCTTGCCTGAGGATCACCCACAGGGGCTGCATAACAGTAAGGGACTCCTAGTTTCTCCTTCTCTTGTCTTGTCCCAGAAGGGTACTCGCCAGATGTCAGCCTGAGCTCTCCTTTATGAAATATCTCTTTTGATATACGGGGGTCGGGGAGCTGCTTGAGGAGACAGTCTATCCCTTATAGGAGCTCAAGTGCTGTTCTGGGAGCTCTGTTGTTCCATGCAGAGCTGCTGGGCAGGTACATTTAAGTCTGCTGCAGCAGAACTGCTAACTGCTTCTTTTCCCAGGTGCTCTGTCCTAGGAAGGTTGGGCTTCATTCATAAGTTCCTGATGTGCTGCTACCTTATTTCATAGATGCCCTGTCCCACACAGAGATAGTCTAGTAACAAACAGTCTGTCAGCAGAGGTGTTGCTGAGCTGCTGCAGGCTCTGCCCAGCTGCTCTGTGAACTTCCTTGAGGCGTTGTTTTTAGAGGTACCATTAGAACTGCCTTGGTATTGGCAGACTGGCTTGGTACTGATGGATGCCCTTCTTTCACCAAGCTGGACCATCCTGGGTCTAGCTGCGCTTACTGCGAAACTCTCAATCCAGAGCATTTCAGATTGCTTTTTTTGTAGTGGTGGTACCTGCTGAGCCAGATCACCTGGCTCCCTGTCTCAGCCTCCTCCGTTTCAGTTGAATGGGCGGCTCTGTCTCCTGGGCGTTCCAGGCGCCGGTTGCAATAACCACCCAGATTTGTGTGAGTTTTTGTGCGCTGACCTGCAGCTCCGGCTGAAGCAGCCATGCTGGAAACTTGTGACACTTTTCAGCCGGGAATGTCCTTGTTCATGGGCAGTGAAAACTCGTTTGGAAATGTGGTGATCACTCACCCTCTACATTGTTTTTGCTGGGAACTGCACTCCAGAGCCGTTCATATTTAGCCATCTTTGCATCATTATCTCTTGACCCGTGTTGAAATTCACCATCGTCTATAAGCTATGTTAATCCCCTCTAAATAATTTATTGCAGACTTTGTATTTTTTTCAAGTTTGGAATTTCCCTATGATTCTTTGTTGTTAAATACACTTTTTCTTTGTTGTGATTTTCTATTTGTTTACTCTTTAGGAGCATGTTTTTCTTTAAGATGTTCTAAAGCTGCTCTGAAATTCTCATTTCTTAATTCTGATGTTTGGTCATCTCAGGCCTAGTCTTCACTAATGATTTTCTTTCTTGTATGGACCTTGTGTTTTGTTTCTTTGTGTGTTTAGAAATTTGGATCATCTTCATTTTTTTTAAAGTGATTCATTGTAGAGAGGCAGGATTCTGTTATGTTCTTCTGAAGAGTACTGTTTTTTTGTTTGGTGCTGTTTTAACTGGTAGCTAACTTGACTGAAGTCAAACTCCAGAATCTATCTTTCTGGCAGTGGGGAGCTGCTGTGGTCTTTGTTCCATTCTGTTAGTAGATATAGGTTTGGGCATGATAGGTTAGGTGTCAGAATGAGATTATACACAGATTCGACCCCTTCTGTGGCACCTTCTTTCTGAGTTTCTGTTTCTCACTTTTCAGCTGTGGTGGTCACCCTAATCTCTGACCTCTGCTTCTTTGTGTCTGGGAGTCTGGGAGTTTTGTATTTGAGTTTTAGCAGCCATGGCAGAGCTTTATACACTCACACATATAGAATGGAAATCAAAATCGCAGAAATGGCAAACTCTGTGTATTAAAGGATCATGGGGGTTCAGCAGGCCACCTCAAATTAGGTGATTTATTAGGAGGACTCCCAGGACTCAGCATATGATCCTCCTCCTGGCTGTGATTTGTGACAGCCAAAGCACAGAGCATAGTCAGCAGCGAGAATAAGCACTGGGGTGGCGTCCACAACAGACCAGGTTCAGCCTCGCCTCTGGAGACTTTCTGGTTTAATCTCTGTGTGTAGCCAATGAATGAAGAAACCTAAAGCCCATGTCTTTTCTGCTTCAAAGTTAATTGTATGAAAGTATGATGTATGTTTCATGAAGGCTTTCCCATGTGGTTTTCTAAGTATGTGTCATAAGCATGAGGTTCAGACACACTGGACAGTCGTGTCATCTTCATAGCTTTAAGGAAGGCAACGCTTAGGTTACAGTGATCGGTGCTGCTCTAGCAAACACATGTAAACAGATCTAGGAATTTATTAAACCGTCTTATAAAACTTATGAGGAATTGTGATGGTTCCTGAATTCCCTCTGAATACTGAGAGATCAAGGTGACTTCAAGATTTTCCTTAACAGGCTCCACCTCTACCATTGGAGCCCCATAGACAGGCCCTGGGGCTGCGAGTTGTGAGCGTCTCCCGCATGATCTTGTCTCACACCTGCTGCAAGAGCATGCTCTGTCGGGCTTAAAAATGATTTCTTTATTTACTGATATTCTAATTTATAGTGTTGGCACACAAAAATCTAAGAAAATCAATGATTGCTTTTGGTAAATAATATATGAAAAATAGTAATTAGCAAATGAAAAATTTCTAAGTACTTTTACTAAATTATAACATTATAATCAATTCAGACGTTCTGTGTTCCAGGACCTTTTTTCTATCAGTGCTTACGTTTATGCGCAGAAACCACAACTGGATATTCACAGTTTTGAAGGCACATTTACCAGGGTAAGTTACACCTGTTGTTCAGTACAAATATAGTTCCTGTGTAAGTTAAAAGTAGCAGTCTTTTATTTGAGACAGTAATTCAATGAAGAATAAATTCAAACAGATGTTTCAAACTAGGGAGGGAAAACCTGTGTAATGTTTGAAGTTCTTAAGCGTATCTGTATTAAATATATCTTTGGGATGCATTTATTACAGTTTTTGGAATTTTCTTTAGCATATTTACTAATAAGATCTTTCTCTGCTGCAATAATATGAATCAGTTAAATGAAATAATTTAGTTCCATTTTGACTGAATAATTGGTAAACTGATATTTACATCATGTCTGGCTTTCTGCTATCTGAGTTGGGTGGGTAATTCTATGTATGAGTCTGTACACGTGTGTTATGTTTCTTTATACACATATCTACATTTCATTGCCATTGCCACCTACTTTTATATTATTACAGAGTTTTGTTAAAGCTGGAAGCACTCTGCCCCTGACTAATAGGGCTTGAGAGACTCAATAACTGTTTATTTTAATGGCTTATAACTGATACTATAAATGCTTTATAGTAAGGGATTTTCGTATATGACTATAGTTTATTTTTAATTGCTGCAGTTACTATTTTAGTGAGGCAGAACCTTGTGTAGGTGCATTCACCTTTGTTTCACTCTTAGTCACTTTCAGGGGCTAGCAAGCAGTTGTCATCACTTGCAAAAGCATTTACAGAGCTTATCTAGTGTGACAGTTAATGTGCACACTGTGGGAGTGTGAAGTGAGGGCACCTGTGAGGTCGTGAGAGTCCTGCGGGGCGCTGGGCCTTTGTAGCTGCTCATATCATAGGTGTGGCACACAAGCCTGTGTAAGAGCTTCATGGAGGGACAGCGAAGGAAGCGCGTCCTGGTGATAAGCATCATGGAATGAATTCTGAAACAAACTCATATCTTTTCTTTTTTAAACAAAAATAGTTATTATGAAAACAGTATGTTCTTATTAAAGACAACAAATGAAAATAAATATTACAAAAAGGTACCCTTAGTAAGAAAAATGAAAAGCTATTAATGTAACCACTCTTGAGAATTTGAAGTAGTATTTGCTCTTTTCCTTTTCTTTTCTTGCTCTTTCCTCTGATTGATATTGCTTATGACTTGGAAAAGTTGGAAATGTTTGCTAGACAGTATGTGGAAGTACATGGAAGTCGGGGAGCAAGTGCAGGTTGGCTAAAAAACTTGAGCTAAGGGGGAGTGTGCAACTCAGTTTGCAGGTGTGAAAAGGGCTGGGGTGTGTAGGACGAGAAACGTAACTAGGCTTGACCGGACGAAGCCATTGAAGGATCTTCAGCTTAGAAGAGAAATGATAAATGCAGATGTCTTAAAAAGATTCATTTAGAAGTTCTGATTCCCTTAGGATAATGGTGGCCACTTGACTTTGTTAACATATCACACAGCCTTCCAAAACAGGGTAACTGTGAGAGTAAGATAGTTTAATCTATAGCTGATGTTTACCATAAATGTGAGACAGAAAATACTGTGAGCTTCAGTTTACTGTAAGTGGGGAAAATACCCAACATAATACAGTTAGTTTCAGAGTCAGGATGGTACAGCAGAGGGGGGTTGTCTTGGGATGCTGATATCATCCCAGTTTTGCTCCCAAGGGAAAAAGGATTCCTAAGTAGGATAATGCATCCTGTGAATGAATTGGGTAAGCAAAGCTATGGGACATTGAAGGGACTTATGGAAAAAGTACAGGTTGGAAGTGACCTTAGGGGAATGTATAGGGACAGGGGCCACTGTTAAAAGGGTTGGTGGCTCTAGGAGGCTTGGTTAGGAAGGAAAAGACAAAATTGACCTTTCTGAAACACAGTAGTAACAATCAGAAGAGTCAGCCCACACCACTCTAAAAACAATGCTTTTCATTGAAGACATTGCATTTCATTGTGCCTGTAGAAGAAGGCACTCGAACTAAGAAACAAATTCCACCTGCCATCCTTGGAACAGGATTACTGATTCAGGAAGAACAGCTCTCATTATTATGAATAGTAAGAAGGAACTCATCTCGTTCTCTCACCTAGGCTAGAGTGCAGTGGTGCGAGCATAGCTCATTGCAACCTCAAACTTCTAGGCTGAAGCATTTCTCCCGCCTCAGCATCCTAAAGTGTTGGGATTATAGACATGAGAGCCATCATGCCTGGCCTAATTTAGTTATTAACAGAAGAAAAGAGATAAATGGGAAGCAAAATTTTTGACTAATAAAAATTTTCCAAAAACAAAGAAAGGAAAAACCTCAATGCAAAGTAATGCTATAACAATGCAATAAGCCTGTTTTAAATGTAGCTAACCAAACAATGGTATTTAGGAAAGAACACCATAAATCAGACATTTAAACATGCAAGAATCAAAATGGAATAAATTTTTCAAGAATGCAAGAATAAAAGCTCAAGAATAAAACAGGACATTGTGAATGAGAAGACTGTGACTTCAGGAGAACACTGAACGTGAACACCTGGGAAGGAAGGACTGCGTCACAGTGTGCCTGTGGGGGAATGTACAATAAGGTAGGGAGGCCGTAAAGAAAAGAGTCAAGGAAACGACATGATAAAAGAAGTGAAAAGGACTCGAAATTAATAGATGTAGACGATTGGCAGAAGGGCCCCACGTGACAGTCTTGAAACAAAATCATGAAACTGCTCAGGTATTTGTTATTAAATACACAGATATCTGAACATACACATTAAAAGGGCCCACCATACACATGAGGAAACTCCAGGGCGTGTACTGTCATATTTTACATATACAGGGAAGAATCCTTTGGTCTCCCTGGGGAAATGACCAATTCCTCACAGCTGGAAGGGGCCAGGTTGGTGTCAGTGTTCTCAGCATACAGAGCAAGACAAGAGTGGGGCAACCTTTCCAGGAGCTTCAGGGGAAGAATGTGTGAGCGGATCGTTTTGCTCCTTGGACACTGTCCTGCAAGTGCCAGGGCTGTGGAGAGCAGTCTCAGGCATACAGAATTCAGGGGGGGTGTACACATGCATCATCTCCCAGGAGATTAGCTCTGCCCAGCTGACAGATGATCTAGGTGGAAGTTTTCTGGTGATCACTGAAAATCTAACAGATCTAAGAATAAAAGAGTGGAGGAAGTATGGGTGAAAGATGATACAGAATATATGTATTTTATATGCTTCCTCAGGTAAGCAGCTGAAAAGCAAGAAGAAGAGGAGAGGAGAAAATAGAAGGAGCTCATTGATTGCTATGTGAGTGGAAAGGCAATGAGAGACTTCATGGAAAGCTGAGGAGCTCAATAGTAGCTGTCCACGCAAGGAGAGTAGGACGAAGGCAGGCTGCTGGGACACTGGTAAAATGGCAGCAACCAGAAAATATACACTTCACCAAAAATAAATTCTTTTTAAAAAATTAAACGACAGTTGATCAGTTCATATGGTGAAAGATGCACAGTACGCAGGCTCTTTCATACAGAAAATTAGCTGGATCAGAAAGGCTAAATAAAGGGTTAAGCAAAGATGCATCAAGCATATACAAATATTAAGGAAGCAGGAGGTGCAGCCTTGGGATTTAACAACAATACTAGTATAGAATCGAGAAAGCACTTAGAATACCAGTAAAGAATTGAGAAAGCACTTAGAATACCAGTACGGAATCGAGAAAGCATTTAGAATACCAGTACGGAATCGAGAAAGCACTTAGAATACCAGTAAAGAATCGAGAAAGCACTTAGAATACCAGTAAGGAATCGAGAAAGCACTTAGAATACCAGTAAGGAATCGAGAAAGCACTTAGAATACCAGTACAGAATCGAGAAAGCACTTAGAATAGAAAGCACTTAGAATACCAGTAAGGAATCGAGAAAGCACTTAGAATACCAGTAAGGAATCGAGAAAGCACTTAGAATACCAGTAAAGAATTGAGAAAGCACTTAGAATACCAGTAAGGAATCGAGAAAGCACTTAGAATACCAGTACAGAATCGAGAAAGCACTTAGAATAGAAAGCACTTAGAATACCAGTAAGGAATCGAGAAAGCACTTAGAATACCAGTAAGGAATCGAGAAAGCACTTAGAATACCAGTAAAGAATCGAGAAAGCACTTAGAATACCAGTACGGAATCGAGAAAGCACTTAGAATACCAGTAAGGAATCGAGAAAGCACTTAGAATACCAGTAAGGAATCGAGAAAGCACTTAGAATACCAGTAAAGAATCGAGAAAGCACTTAGAATACCAGTACGGAATCGAGAAAGCACTTAGAATACCAGTAAAGAATCGAGAAAGCACTTAGAATACCAGTCGAGAAAGCACTTAGAATGAGGCAAAGAAAATGCTGTAAAATAGTAGATTTTAAAATCTACCTGCAGTCCCAGTGGGTCATGTGGACAGAAAGGTAGTAGAGTTGTAGAAGAGAGCTAAGAACATGAGCAGTGAAGTAGATCATTTAAAATTTTTATGAAACTGTTCCCTAGCAGTTTTTATCTCAGCATATATAGAGTTTCAACAAAAGTTAAACATACATTTATTTGTAAAGAAAGTTTTAGTTCTGTAACTTAGAAATGATACAAACAGTCTTCTCTGATCGCAACAATAAAATTGGTAAGCAATAACAAAGTCAGTGAATGAAATGGCTTTCTGCCTGTAAATGTAAATACTATATATTAATCACTTTTTGTATTAAAGGAGAAATACAAACTGAAATTGGAGAATTTCTATAAAATATTGGTAATGGAAACACTGCATATGAGAATCTGAATCTGTGGGTCTATGTAGAAGTAGGAAAATTTATAATCTTGGTATGTATATGTATATATAGCAATAAAAATGAAAGAATGAAAATCATTGAATTACATATATGAGAAAGTGAACAAAAAGAATGCAGCAGAAGGAAGGACATATAAAGATGTATACTAAGGTCATACACCTAAGAGTAGAGCCTTCAAACCATTCTGTTGGGGGGCGCTTTCAGAAGCCAGGTAATAAATGGAGGTAAGTTTTTTTTTAAAAAATACTATG